ATGCACTGCAAAGTCAAAACATGTTGACTCACTTTATTGCAATATTTACTTTATCCCAGTGGTCTGGAACCTGACTTACAATATCTCTGAGTTATGCCTGTATTGTTTTCTAAGTAAATGTATATGCTTGAGATTTCTGAGATGTTTTTCTAATCTTCCTGTTTTACCTAAAAAAGTATCCTTGACTATATTTTCATGTTCAGTCTAATAATATATTCAGAAAAGATGAATGACCATACATGCCTATACCTTCTGTTCCAGAGCTGGGTACACTATGGTTCTAGTTATGAAATAGATAACCTTTAAATGTCATATTATACTTGGCCAAATGTCATTTTATGACTATATAATATTCAGTTTCCTTTTTCTTTGTTATCTGGATTTTGTACATTTTGGCTCTTTCTATTTGGATGCATTTTACAAAATTTGTTTTCTTTTTAGGATGGAGACCTACATACTTGAGCAGCAATAGTTATAGCATTCTCATTTATTTTTATTTATACTCTCCATGCTTGATGTCAATTCTCATGACCTTCCATGGAATAGACTACAAAACAGTAAAATTCAGATATAAATAATAATAACGACTATCATTTATTGGATTGGGCCTATGTGCCAGACACTGCTAAATGGATTGTCTCATTTTTTTCTTTGCAACATCTGTATATAACAAGTATTATCTCTGTCCTCATTTTATAGGTAAAGAGATTGAAGCCAAGAGAGACTATGTGACTTTTCCAAGTTTACACAGATAACTCCAGGACCACTGCTGTTGACTTATACACTATTTTTTCCATAGAAATTTAAAGTAGATAGACCTTCTTCCTTTCTTCACTTCCTTTACTCATGGGCAGTGAAGTGAAAAGTCAATGTTGTTTTCTAATGCAAGATTTAATTATATCCTGTGTGGTATTCTAGAACACAAACTAATAAGAAAAGGAATAGGAGAGGAAAAAAAATAACCCTTCTTCTTTATATTTCTCCAAAAATAAAATATCCAGCTCTTAAGACCTCACATGTGAGATTAACCATAAAATTGGGCAGCAAACCTAAGATGTTTTATTTTATATATGAGTCATAATATGTTAGAGTATAACTGATGGTATTGTTCAAATGGGCTAGATCACCACTCTGAGGTGCCTGCCAATTCCATAATTCTATGATTCTAGGAATTTTGTCATTTGGAACTCTGAAGGAAACTCTGGCTGATCCATTTAGGAACTTTAGGGGAATTTTTTTAAATGCTTGTGTTGTCTCTTAACAACTTTAATGAATGTTAAAAATACTACAAGCAAAAAAAAAAAATACTGCAAGCATGCTGATCATTCACAAAAACATGCTGTTAATAATGTATGGTATAATTATTAGCTATCGTTCATTAGAGAATAATTTCTGAAAGTATGATGCAGTGTCTGCTGTGAAGAGGAAACACCAAATCTGTTTAGTAACAACCAGCTTAATGCCAAGAATATGTAAATATTTAATCTCTTGTCCCCAGAGAGTAAGTTACGTACTCTTGGAGGCATTAATTCCTTCAGACTCGTGGACCTCACTGAATCCACTGAGGCAAGACTTCAAAATGAGCCCATCCAGATCTGAAATTTAACTTCAGCTTTGGGAAGCTCCCATCATTCCCATAGAAACAGCTCTCGACAAATCAAGAGGGAATTGATCTTGATTCTTTCATATTGCCAATAGAGCATAAATTCTCAAATGTGCCATCACAGGAGGGAAGTGAGCGTGGGGAGAAGTATCTTGAGACTTGTCAGATTCCCCCTTATTTTACAAGTGAAGTTTCATATATAATGTCATTGAACTAAACCAGGAATAGGCTTAGATCTCAGTTTCAGGGATTTTCATGAAATGTATACTCACGTTTTCAATGTACAGTAGAGTATTAACCCAGTTTTTTCATTTCGTGTTTCATCTTTAGGTTTTCTATGAGTAAACTTGGATGTGTGGGTGGGAGTGGGAAACGTGGTGCTAATTGACAGGGCAGAAATTTGGCCTAATATAAATGATTAGAAAGAAGAAAGAAGAAGTAAGGGAAAGAATGAGTACAGAAAAAAATTAGATATAACCCAGTCTGTTCTGAATTAAAGGCCAGGATACAAAAGTGGGAAAAGTGTGGCACTGTCCTTCTCCTGCTTGGTTTTGGAATCAGTGGATGCCAGTCAGTCACAATGTCTGTTTCTAGAACAGGATGGGATAGAGCCAAAGGAAAGGCAACTGCTGGGTTTTTCATCAGCACAGTAATTGTATCAGTACACCTATGAGGAATCTGTCCCTCAGCTCCTGCTCCACCTGATGTACTCCGGTCTTGCCTGCAGTTGGGTCTTACTATACTCGTTTTCTACTCTTTTCCAGAAATGTAAAGTACCCAGCCCATCCCCACCACAATGATCCTGAAAGGTTGGGTTCTGTGGTTTGAGAATTGCCCTAATTCAGTAAAGGCAGGGCCAACATCCTCTCAGAATCTGAGCCCTAAAGCATTCCTTGGAGAACTCAATCATGGCTTTGGACGTGGAGTGTATTTAATTTCTAGTTTGACTTTCACTTTGCCACCTTTGTCACTAACTTCCACGCCTTTTGTTAACCACAGTGAATGTCTCACTTGTAAATTCCACAGCGAAATGATCAAACAGTTTTCTGTCTCAATTTCCACAAGGAAGATGGAGCTAGTGAACCATACATAGCTCAGCCTTGAACCTAAGAGGTCGACTAGAATGGGGTGTATTTTTGGAGGTTTACCCAATGTGGAAAGCCAGTTTTTCAAATCCAAGCCAGTTTTCTGAAGGAGGTTGAAGAGTTGGTGCCAAAGAGACCAGATGTAAATTTAAAGTTCAAGGTGTGAGTGCCAATAGTCAGGAATGCAAGAAAATGTGTTTGAAGGGAGCGTAATTGAGAGCAATTGAGGGTGGTCTAGATAGAAGGATTTCCAAGAAAACTGTTGGTTGACTATGGCTAACAGGAAGAGGTATATGGGTATGTTAACACTGACAATTCCAGAAGGTTCAGTTCAAGTAAGAGACTATTTATAAGCTATTGAGAGTGATAAGAGGGCAGGTGGTGAGAGGTGGGAGAGTTTGGGGGTGCTGGACTTTGATCTCTTGGGGGCTCTGATTCTGGTACTCCTCTATAGCATTCTACAGATCTAGAGTAAATACTTTGCAATATAAAATGATGTCTAATAAACATTTTTTATGTTGTCTCTCCAGCTTTAGTATTAACCCAGTTTTTTCATTTCGTGTTTCATCTTTAGGTTTTCTATGAGTAAACTTGGATGTGTGGGTGGGAGTGGGAAACGTGGTGCTAATTGACAGGGCAGAAATTTGGCCTAATATAAATGATTAGAAAGAAGAAAGAAAAAGTAAGGGAAAGAATGAGTACAGAAAAAAATTAGATATAACCCAGTCTGTTCTGAATTAAAGGCCAGGATACAAAAGTGGGAAAAGTGTGGCACTGTCCTTCTCCTGCTTGGTTTTGGAATCAGTGGATGCCAGTCAGTCACAATGTCTGTTTCTAGAACAGGATGGGATAGAGCCAAAGGAAAGGCAACTGCTGGGTTTTTCATCAGCACAGTAATTGTATCAGTACACCTATGAGGAATCTGTCCCTCAGCTCCTGCTCCACCTGATGTACTCCGGTCTTGCCTGCAGTTGGGTCTTACTATACTCGTTTTCTACTCTTTTCCAGAAATGTAAAGTACCCAGCCCATCCCCACCACAATGATCCTGAAAGGTTGGGTTCTGTGGTTTGAGAATTGCCCTAATTCAGTAAAGGCAGGGCCAACATCCTCTCAGAATCTGAGCCCTAAAGCATTCCTTGGAGAACTCAATCATGGCTTTGGACGTGGAGTGTATTTAATTTCTAGTTTGACTTTCACTTTGCCACCTTTGTCACTAACTTCCACGCCTTTTGTTAACCACAGTGAATGTCTCACTTGTAAATTCCACAGCGAAATGATCAAACAGTTTTCTGTCTCAATTTCCACAAGGAAGATGGAGCTAGTGAACCATACATAGCTCAGCCTTGAACCTAAGAGGTCGACTAGAATGGGGTGTATTTTTGGAGGTTTACCCAATGTGGAAAGCCAGTTTTTCAAATCCAAGCCAGTTTTCTGAAGGAGGTTGAAGAGTTGGTGCCAAAGAGACCAGATGTAAATTTAAAGTTCAAGGTGTGAGTGCCAATAGTCAGGAATGCAAGAAAATGTGTTTGAAGGGAGCGTAATTGAGAGCAATTGAGGGTGGTCTAGATAGAAGGATTTCCAAGAAAACTGTTGGTTGACTATGGCTAACAGGAAGAGGTATATGGGTATGTTAACACTGACAATTCCAGAAAGTTCAGTTCAAGTAAGAGACTATTTATAAGCTATTGAGAGTGATAAGAGGGCAGGTGGTGAGAGGTGGGAGAGTTTGGGGGTGCTGGACTTTGATCTCTTGGGGGCTCTGATTCTGGTACTCCTCTATAGCATTCTACAGATCTAGAGTAAATACTTTGCAATATAAAATGATGTCTAATAAACATTTTTTATGTTGTCTCTCCAGCTTGTTTCTTTATTACTTTACATCAAGACAAAGAAGCAGAATAGAGAAATGTGTATACTTAGTTTATTAATTGAAAAAAGTCTTCATGGATTTAAATTCTTGAGGAAAATGTGTATTCAGCAGTTGTACCTGAAGGACTATACCACAAGATGGTGCTAACCCATTAAAGTTATGCTCTTATAAGAAGTTTCCCTAAATGGCCTAAATTTTTGAATCTCAAACATGAGATGTTATTTATTTTTGCATCTCTTTTAGTACAGTTTTCCTTAGCAATGAGATATGATGGGTTTTAAATTTAAGCTGATTAGTTAATGTATGCCTCTTTGGGGGAGAAAAAGAAAACCCAGTAATTCTACTTTGTATTCCTCTGACCCAATTTTTGATATGCTAGGTGATCCAAAATATGCTCTTCTACCATGCTCTTTTTTTTCTTTCATTTCTGTTCAACACAAGACGGTGCAGCATAAGCTAGCAGAATTAAAAACACACATTTGTGTAACCAGAGCTTTTGTGGACAGCTGTCTCCAGCTGCATCAAGCAAAATGTCTGGACTCTGCCACTGCTTCCATGGCAAAGTATTGGTATGTATGCTACAGTAATTAAAATGTGGTATTTGCACAGACTATTATAGAATTGTTCCAACTTTACACTCAGCCTCAAGGGCCTTAAAGGAAGTGTAAATTTAAAGGCTGTGTAAATGAAAACCAGCAGTGAGAACCAACTTTTTAAAAAATCCTGAAAGGTCCCACTAAGCCTATTTATAATGTGCTAAAAATTACTCAAATTGGTATTTAACTTCTGGCTTGCCAATGAAAATAAAATATCAAGAGACTGAAGTAGGGTGGCTAATTAGTTCATTCAAGTCATAGTTTGATTTCAAATTATCTGTTAGTGGCAGGATAGCGAGACCAAAAAAGGGCAATGAAACTTAGTGTCCTGAGATAGAGTCCCAATTCTTTCATTAAATTTAATTATCTCTGGGCAACATTTATATCTGTAAAATTGTAGATTAGACAGGACTTTTCTGTTTAAAGTGTTTTCCAGATTTAGAAAAATTTCTGAGGAACTTACTGTCCAATCAAAGTTGCACATACTCTATTAAATGAAAGGAAAAATGTACCATTAAGTTCAGAAAGACTTTGATTTGTATTAAAGATGATTAGCTATGGTATTAAAGATGAGTTCATTGAAAAAGACCCCTATAAGGTTTTTGTATATTTTAAGATGCAAGAACATAGTTTAAATCAAGATTCTGGAAGTGAGTTTGACTTCCTCTGTTTTAGAAACAAACATCCTCACATCTCATTAGCCCAAAAATAACCTAGAAAAAATTCCTGTCATTATTCATTAACTTGTGTCCAGTTCAGTCAGAAGTAGAAATATGCAGAATGTGCTTTATGTAATGATTCCAAAATATTAAAATTGCCAGGTTGAAACTGATGTGAAATTACCAGAAACTTGTGCTTTTGGGGGAGACATTTTGCATTTCCATTTATAGCAAGTTCTTTGACAAGGTGGAAAAGTATGAAAAATTTTTTTAGATAAAATGTTTTTGGAATAAAGATATGTGGATAGCTATTGACCTCACTGTTCTTTGAAAACACTAGGTTTATAGACATACTGGTATTTCACATTGAAGCAGAGGAAGCAACTAGTTATAGCCCAGTAAATATTTCACTAAAATACTTGCCAAATACAAAAATTTATAGAATCCCAAATATTGTTGCCCCCTTGTGTCTTGGCTGTTAATCATTATATTGTTATTGTGCTTCTTAGGAATATCCTCACCTGTCCTATGGTTTTAGTTAAAAATTATTTTAAGTAGGAAAATGTGTCTATGCTTACCTTTGCTTTATGTTTCACACTATTGAAGAACATTGAAAAGAATTTTCAACTAATATATTTTTATGTTAAGATGAATAAAATCCCTCCCACTTATCCTATGAATTTTAATGATAGTTAAAATTGTGATAAGATCAGAAAATAATATTTCTCAGGTATTGATATAAACATGCTTCAGGAATAATAATTCCCAAATAAGTTTTGTGTTTCCTATAAGAAGGCATGTACTTCAATAGTAGTCTACCCTTTTAGGTTTTTACTTTTACTTTCAATTTATTTCTGAAAACCATAAAATTTTATTTCACAGTTACTGAAACTCAGACTTGCAACCTTCAGGTAGAGAGTGACATCTTTGGAGGAGAAAAGGCATTTTACAAAACAAAAGGAAGTAGGTGACTGGATAATTATACAATTAATGTAGATCATATAAAGAATCTAAGTAAATTAAACCGAATTCAAGTTTTTACTATATCACATTCAAGGCATTAAGTAGCCAAAATCTATGCTTTCCATATTTTGTTTCTAGCCTTAACAAAAACCCAGCCAGAAATATAATTGATGAAGAAAGTTTTCACTGTGTGAAAATTTTCCTGAGATTTGTTTCATATGTATTTTGTATCAGTCTTCTCTGACTGGGTAATATTCCTGATTTTAATTGGTTAATAAATGTGGCATTTAATGCCAGGTTGAAACTGATGTGAAATTACCAGAAACTTGTGCTTTTGGGGGAGACATTTTGCATTTCCATTTATAGCAAGTTCTTTGACAAGGTGGAAAAGTATGAAAAATTTTTTTAGATAAAATGTTTTTGGAATAAAGATATGTGGATAGCTATTGACCTCACTGTTCTTTGAAAACACTAGGTTTATAGACATACTGGTATTTCACATTGAAGCAGAGGAAGCAACTAGTTATAGCCCAGTAAATATTTCACTAAAATACTTGCCAAATACAAAAATTTATAGAATCCCAAATATTGTTGCCCCCTTGTGTCTTGGCTGTTAATCATTATATTGTTATTGTGCTTCTTAGGAATATCCTCACCTGTCCTATGGTTTTAGTTAAAAATTATTTTAAGTAGGAAAATGTGTCTATGCTTACCTTTGCTTTATGTTTCACACTATTGAAGAACATTGAAAAGAATTTTCAACTAATATATTTTTATGTTAAGATGAATAAAATCCCTCCCACTTATCCTATGAATTTTAATGATAGTTAAAATTGTGATAAGATCAGAAAATAATATTTCTCAGGTATTGATATAAACATGCTTCAGGAATAATAATTCCCAAATAAGTTTTGTGTTTCCTATAAGAAGGCATGTACTTCAATAGTAGTCTACCCTTTTAGGTTTTTACTTTTACTTTCAATTTATTTCTGAAAACCATAAAATTTTATTTCACAGTTACTGAAACTCAGACTTGCAACCTTCAGGTAGAGAGTGACATCTTTGGAGGAGAAAAGGCATTTTACAAAACAAAAGGAAGTAGGTGACTGGATAATTATACAATTAATGTAGATCATATAAAGAATCTAAGTAAATTAAACCGAATTCAAGTTTTTACTATATCACATTCAAGGCATTAAGTAGCCAAAATCTATGCTTTCCATATTTTGTTTCTAGCCTTAACAAAAACCCAGCCAGAAATATAATTGATGAAGAAAGTTTTCACTGTGTGAAAATTTTCCTGAGATTTGTTTCATATGTATTTTGTATCAGTCTTCTCTGACTGGGTAATATTCCTGATTTTAATTGGTTAATAAATGTGGCATTTAAACAATCATAAATAATTTGTTTACTAATTGTGAAGCACCTCATGAAAATCCATTTCAAGTGTTCCTCTTCTGTGTTTTATTTTGGTTTTCTAGGGCATCTGAGTTACAAAACAGTGTAGCTTATGATTGTGTACAGCTCCATGGAGGTTGGGGATACATGTGGGAGTACCCAATTGCAAAGTAAGTATGGCTGTTGTGTTACACTCTTCTGGATGATGTGAAGAAAAAGGAAGATTTCTTTACTGTGCTTTGTATACTGAGTGTAGAGGGAAAGGAGGTGAAAAATCTTGGCATTTTTCAACTGACTACAGTGTGTTCAAGCAGATGTGAACAGCTTTATGTTATTAGCTTACCACTGGGATTTTGTTATTCTTAAAGACAGGAAGGAGACCAGTATATTAAAAATTGATGCTTGGCTTTATTTGAATCAGTATACATACAGAAGGAATAATACCAGTTTCTTTTTCTTTTTTTTAAATAGTATTCTATTTCACTGGTTAACCATAATTACTCAGGTTATTTCTGTTTTTTTACTGTGACAGTGCTACTACAACGAACACCTCGATATATTGATCTTAGGTACATGTATTTTCAGTTACAACAGAACAGAGTGTCGGAACTATTGCTAGTTTAAAAGTATGCATAGTTTAAATTTCAATTTATTTCTAGATTATTCCCTCCAGTTTATAGCAATTTATACTCAAATGAACAAAGTCTGGGTATGACTTATCCTCCTAAGCTATGAACCTTAATACCTTTTAAACTTTGTGCTAATCTACTGGGTTAAAAAAAAGTTATCATTCTTATTTTAATTTGCATTGACTATTAATTATCTTATTGTGGTAAGATCGTTTAGCATGAGAGCTACCCTCTTCACAAAATTTAATTGTACTATACAGTATTATTAATTATAGGTCCAATGTTGTACTGTAGATCTCTCATTTATTCATGTTGCTTAATCAAAACTTTATGCCCATTGATTAGTGACTTGCCCTTCCCATACCCTTTTCCCCCTTTAGCTCTTGGCAACCACCATTTTTTAAGCCTATGAATTTGACTATTTTAGATATACAGTATAGGTGGAACCATGTAATATTTGTGTTTCTGTGGCTAGTTTATTTCACATAGCAGAATGTCCTCAAGGTTTATCCAGGATTTATTTACATGTCTTCTTTGAAAATACCACGTTTTTAAAACTAAAAAAGAAGAAAAAAAGCACCAAGAAAAATTGACCTGCATATGAAAAGGATCTAAATTATCATATCTTAAATATTTGATGATTTTGCTCTAAAAAAATGAATGTAATTATTTTTTTCCAAATAGAATTTTTATTTCCTTCAAATTAAAAGGAATTAAGTATCCTTTTAAAATTCTATTATATATAAATATTTTCCAGTTTGTCGACAGGCAGCATCCTCTTCCGTATTTCTTCCTCTGTCCCAATAATTTCTTCTTTCTCTCTTCCTATAGTCTTACCTCTGTAATCTCCCCATGGCATTTCTCCTCATCACTCTAGAAAATATGTTTTTCCCCTTATTTGGCAATATGAGTTTATAAAATTTGCCCACAGAAGTTTTGCTATGTAGAGAGAAATCCAATTTAGTTCTTAATCTGAGAATGGAGAATGCCATGAGCTTCTAAAACATTTCCTAATTTTAATCTATATACAGAGTTTCTTAAAGGGAAACTTATCAAATGAGTATTCAAAGTGTAACTCTAGGAGTAAAATCCCAGGGCAAAATACCTTTGAAACTGAAATCAGTCAAAGGGAGAACTCCCCAAGGTGGGAGAAACCCATTTGTTGTCTATAAGCAGTCATCCACTTCGGCTCTCCAGTGTGTCTCACGACCCTGATGCAGAAGACGGGAACCCACTCAACCTCTCCAGTCCAGATATGCCCTTCCTGGCCCTTGTAATTACCTACTGATATGGAGATGGACTACTTCTCTCCACCCATTGGAAACACCTATTTATATGGAGATGCACAAAAGCCAGGTGAGAGATTCTGGAAATATTGCAATTTTACCCACAGCCCACCCCTCCAGAAATCTCGTCTTACAATCCTACTCGTTCCCCCACTTCCACAGTGGCCCTTGTGTGAGAAAACTGGAGCATTATAACCAGACTAATAACATACAGTAGCAATAGCATTAAAATCATGATAATCCTCAAGCCAGAGGATTCAGCTGGGTTCAAAGTCTTATGCAGATTAAATCCATAGCTCACTCGTTCCACAAGCAGGCAGTAGCTGAACAGTTAGGGAGTTTAGAGCAATCATCACATGGCAGCTGCAGCCACGGGGCACATCCAGGCCACAAAGACTGTAGAAGAAAATGACCTTAAGGGCAATAAGATACATGTTTTAATGACACCAGCACAGGCAAATCTTGTCCATGGGTGGGGGGGGGGGCGTCCATGCAAGAGAGTGGTCCTGTGATAGGACAGTGGCAGGAATGGGATCTTGTCCTGGTCTAGTACACCAGACTTTGACCCCCTCCCTGTGGGAGTTACAGATGGGTCAATATATAGAGCTTTGGGAGGTACATGCACTGAGCCACAGCTCTTGCCCCTATAGGGGCCAGAAACCAATCATCCAGTTGGCATGCTACCATGTTGATAGCCACAGGGTCAAGCCCTGATAGATGGCCCAGCTGTCAGTGCAGACAACTATAGGGGAGGGCTCCTGGGTGATCACAAGCCATACTGCCCACAACTCAGCCCACTGGCTGTTCTTCCCCTCTCCATTCTCCATCCATATTGTCTCAGTCTTAGGATGGAAAGCCACAGCCCTCCACTTCGGGGGCTTCCCATGACTGGAGCCATCTGTATACCAAGCATCTTCAGGTATAGGGGCTTTTCCCTCCTGATAAGGACACTTAGCTACCAATAGCTCAAAAGCAAGTTCTTCCTGCTTTCCACTGGTATACATCACTGGCCCCAATAAGTGTTGGAGTTCTCCATTTAAGGGGCTAGTAGAGAGGGTGCTATGCTGCTGTAAATATGTACCCCATTTGGCCAGTGTAGGTTGGCCTTTGGGTCCAGTCTTGCGCCCACCCCGCGATGGCATAGGTGGTTATTACCTTGGTCCGAGCTGTTCTGGTTATGGGCTTCATAGCCAGCAAGGTGTGGTATGCAGCAGCCAGTTGCTTCTCTATCAAAGTATACCAGACCTCTGCTCCTTTCCATAGTTGTGACCAGATCCAATAGGTTGGCATGTCCATTCAAGCCGCTGCCAAAGGCATCCATAACCATCTTCGGTTACATGAACATCTAGCTCACAGGACCTCAATGAGTCCATTACACTCAAGGCCTGTACAGCCTTGACTATGCGCTTAGCGGCAGTAAAAGCAACTGCACGTTTCATCCCAGTCCCATCTGATGCCTTTTCCTACCAACAAGTATAAGGGCTTCAGAGTTTGTGCCAAGTGCAGGATAAACACTCTCCAAAAGCCCAAAAGACCCAAAGTCTCTTGTAAGACTGCCACAGTGGTAGGGGTAGGAAAAACCTGGACCTTGTCTGTGACTGCTTCAGGAATAACTTTAGTTTTACCTGACCAGACAACCCCCAAGAACTTTACAAACAAACCAGGTCCCTAAACCTTGGTGCTGTTCACAGCCCATCCTTTTTCCTATAGATGTTGCAGCAGTCTAGGTGCTGCCTCTTCTAAATCTGCAAGAGAATCAGATGTGAGCATATCATCAATGTAGTGATACAACCACACTGTTTGCAGTTTCTTCCATGTGGCCAAGTCCTGGGCTACAAGTCTGAGACAAATGGTGGGCCTGTGGAAGTATCCCTGTGGAAGGACAGTGAATGTCCACTGCCGGCCTTCCCAGGTGAAGGCAAACTGTTGCTGACTTTCCTGTGCTATGTCAATAGAGAAGAAAGTATTAGCAAGGTTCACAACTTGATACGTACCTAGCTCATGCCTGAGTGTTTCCATAAGGGCTATAGAGGGGACAGGAACATGCAAAGGGGGGTGTGACTTTATTCAATTCCCTGTAGTCGATGGTCATATGCAAGGAGCAGTCTGACATTTTCACTGGCCACACTGGGGAATTAAAAGGGAGATAAAAATAAAAGGACTATGAGTGGGCTTTATGATGCCCATCTTCTCCAACTCCTGTAGAGTTTCTCCAATTTCCTTGTGCCCCCTGGGCAATTTATACTGCTTAGTATTTTTCATTCTCTGAGGTACAGGCAGAGCTACAGGTGGGTGCTTAGCATGTCCCCTCAGAACTACCTTTACCACATGTACCCTCAGTCAAAACTCACCTGCAGTGGTCTGTAACCACAGGCCCTGCAGGATATCTACTCCCCAAATATATTCAGGGATAGGAGAAAGTACACAGTATGCTGTTTAAGGGTAAATGCCCTATTCCCAATGGGATTTGGGCTTTCTCTACTCCAATTTGCTTTACTCAATAGCCATCTATCACAGCAGGGGTCCTGGGAAAACCCTCAGGGTTGCCATAAATCAAGAGAATATTCAGCTCCTGTGTCCACCAGCAGTAGGGCATGTTGTACATTCATGGGGGACCATGAATTGCTAATTCTACATGTGGCTTCCTGTTCCCACCATGTCCCCCAAGGTGGGGGCCTCGATTACACCCTCAGTCAAACCATGATGCCCAATTGTCCTCTTGTGGGGGTGAGGGCCCAGGCAGAGCCTGAGTACTGTACCCCAGGAAGTCTTGCAGAGAGGCTGGATATGGGGCTTTGCCTCCAGCTTCCATGTCCTGGACCTCAGTGGCTGGAACTGCTTCTCTGGCTTTAATTGGTGCCACAGTTCTAACAAGGTCCTCTTGGACTGCCCATCAAATTTTTCTTTCACTACCCTGGCCTTTATCAAATCAACCCAACATCTGGGTCCTCGAGATCTTCACGGGGCCCTTTGCACCTCTCCTTTCAGTCACAGCCTGTGCTTCCTTCTGTGCTCTTATTGTTTCAATCTCCTCCAGATCTGCTAAAGTATGAGTAGCCTCACTTATGGGTTGCCCTATGTGGGAGGGCAAGAATAGTCACTAGGGACCCACACAGAGATGGGGGAGCTGTATGCAGCACCAGATTTCTCATTCCTACGGTAACAACAACTCCTCAGGGCCCTTAGGGTCCATATTATAGATGATATTTTTCATGCCCAGCCCCCATAACACCTGTTGGAGCTCGGCATACATTTTCCAGCTAGCGGGTAAGTATGGTAAATCACCCTGATTAGGCCAAACTGCCCTGATGGCTGCCGTCAGCCAATCCAGAAGTGCCTGATACCCTGAGGTGTGACTGGCACTTTGCAACCGCTGCTGAAGGTAAGGGTGAGTCATCAGGGAGGCCAGTCCACACATTTCAGAACCTGACATAACAATGTTTTCCACCCCCATATCCTAGAGACACAAAAGCCATGTAGGCAGATGTTCTGATGGCTTCTGCTGATACCGGACACTCATGACCACCAGCTCATCCTGGGTATAGGGGCCCAGCATGGAGTGCTCCACAACCTGGGGAGGGGGTGGCTCCTCCCTCTGAGGCACCCATGGTTGTTGCATTTTTATATTCTTAATTACAACTGGGTGGACCTTTAATACAGGAGAGGCTAGTGCCTCGGGCAGTGGCCTCCATGGGCTGAAGGCCCCACCCCCTCATCCTCTCCAATCATCTCTTCTACCATCTCTGGGGCTGAAGGCGCTGCTCTTTCCTCCCCCTTCCCCATGGCCTCCTGCAACACGGATTCTCCTGATATCTCCTCCCTCACTGTTGCTAATGTATCATCCAGGAGCACAACCTGTCTTCTCAGTAACCATCTCTCTTTCTTAAGGGCATCCCAGAGGTCATCGCCCAGCAACTCCAAGCAATGCTGAAGTGTGTCTCTCTCCAGACAAAGTCTCTCTCTCTCTCCTCAATAACCCTCTCTCTCTCCTTGATACACCCCCTAGAGGGCCCCACACCTCTAGGAGGTGTTTTATCCTATTTTGAGGAAAAGACATCTCTGCTCTTTCCTCCCCCTTCCCCATGGCCTCCTGCAACACGGATTCTCCTGATATCTCCTCCCTCACTGTTGCTAATGTATCATCCAGGAGCACAACCTGTCTTCTCAGTAACCATCTCTCTTTCTTAAGGGCATCCCAGAGGTCATCACCCAGCAACTCCAAGCAATGCTGAAGTGTGTCTCTCTCCAGACAAAGTCTCTCTCTCTCTCCTCAATAACCCTCTCTCTCTCCTTGATACACCCCCTAGAGGGCCCCACACCTCTAGGAGGTGTTTTATCCTATTTTGAGGAAAAGACATCCCACAATCCCACCTACTACACAGCCATTCAGGGTCTCTAAGCAATCTTCTATCTCACAGAGGGCTAATTCCACAGCTTCCTGTGTCTCCACCCTTCCCAAATTCTGGGGAAGGCCCCACTCCTCCAGGAGGTGCTTTACCCTACACTAATTCCCCACTGGGGGCCCCTAAATTGGAAATCCCACAGATAGGGGGCTTCCAGGTGAAGCTGAACCCCTCTGCCACTGCCGCCACTGGGGCTTCCCCACCATGCACAGGGGGTGTTCTCGGCATCTCCCCACCATTTCTTGGGCATCCTGCTCAAGGGTTGCACAGATTTTGGGTTCAGAGGTCCTGCTGACTACCGCCAGATGTAACTCTGGGGGGTAAATCCCAGGGCAAAATACCTTTGATACTGAAATCAGTCAAAGGGAGAAATAGAGTGGGAGAAACCTTTTTATTTCTTACAAGCAGTCATCCACTTCTGCTCTCTCAAGACCTAGCTGCAGAAAAAGGGACCCTACCCAACTTCTCAGTCTAGATATACCCTGGCTGGCCCCTGTAATTACCTATTGATATGTAGATGTTACTGCTCTCCACCCCTTGGAAACACCTATTGATATGCAGATGCATGAAGGCCAGGCAAGAGATTCTGGAAATACTGCAATTTTACCCCCACAAAGTGACTTTCAAATTTATTATTTTGGCAAGCATAATTGAATACACTTGATATACTTTAAGCTCTTAATGAGGAAAATAAACATTTTATTAAAGTTACAGTATCATTAAGCAACTCAGAAAGCTTTAATCACAGGGTGTGTATACCCTTTTATAAAAACTCGGCAACAACTAGGGCTTTTACCTTTGGTGCGGGCATGTAAGGATGAAGTAACTAAATGTTTTTTTATCTTTTCTTTTTATCAATACTTGTTCTTAGATTTTGGTATATTCTTTCAGAATTATTTCAAAAAAGACTTAATCAAAAGCAGATTTTTTTTTTATCTTTGTGTAGTCATTGAAACCAGAAGTAAACACTGAGTTATGTTAGCACATATTAAATCATCACTGGAATTCGTTCTGTGCATTTTTGTGTTTTATTCATATATTAATCCACTTATTCACAATATTCCCAATGCTAATAAAGTAAAATAATAATGGATGCTTATATTTTTCTACTTAACTGTGCTCCTACAGCTGTTGCAGGGAATGTAGATATGTAGTGGCTCAGTGTTTGTCTACTTCAGTTTGGGTTCTAAGAAAGGCATATTAGGTAAGAGGGAGTCAGCCATCTACATGGCCAAGAATATAGAGTGGAGCATAAGTCTTGATCTCAGTTTTCTCAGAGGCCATTCCTTTAGGTCAGTAGCAAGCAAAACTTGTAGCTTGATGATTTATTTGAAATCCATGGTTTCAATTTGGGAGACTTATATTTCCTTTCAGATATAATAATTCCCTTCTTGGACAGTTTGCTAGTTCAAAGAGTGTATGAACTTTTTAAACTAGACTGCTGTTTCACTCCCCAAAGACTCAGGGAAGGAAATTTTTTTAAGATAAAAAGAGAAAGAGTAGTAGATAATAATGAAAATGCTAATTGGACACATTAGGCAATATGTGGATGCCATGTATAGACTTTGATTTGATAGAAAAAATCATTCTTGTTGTTCTTATTTCCTCAGATTAGCTGTGTTATTTGTGTGTGTGTGTGTGTGTTGCATAGTCTTAGTTTCACAGATAAAAGAGGTGCTTTTTTTGTTTTGTTTCATTTTGTTTGCTTGTTTTTAAATAATTGGCCTTAAGCATGTGAGTTTATTTCAGTGCTACTTTTTAGTCTTAGGGCCCATTTGTGAAGTGAGACTTAAGCATTGCCATTTAAGACTTCTCTGCTGTGCTAGGAAGAATAGCTTGAGATACAGAGCTTCGTCAGTGTGTGGTTAAACATTCCTTCTGCTGCCCTTCTCTGTTAATTTTAGTTGATGACTAAATTTAATTAGTAACTTATAAAAGGTCTACTGACCTCTGTCATCACCTACTACATTGGAACTTCTTTAATGTGAAGAAAAAAAAAGCCCAACCCAGTCCAAAAATGTCTGAAAGTATTGAGATTGCTGAAATGCCGTCTTCTAAATGCAAGTGCTGGATTTTGTGGGCAAAAATGGAATCTGTTCAAAAGAAAAAAACATTTGAAAACACAAATTTCTCTGGATTTCAAGCTTCATCAGAAAGTAGGTATTCAGACTCTAAAATCCCTTTGTAATACAGCAAATCAAATCAGTAAATATTTACTGAGTGTTTACTTTTTGCAAGGTACTATGATGAATATTGATAAGGGGAAGTCCAGAATTTGTCATGTTCCTAGAGAGCTGGCACATTTAATTTGTCGCAAATATTAAATAACATTGTAAAAACCCAGATCTTATGTTTGAAAAAAATGTACCTTTGAATGTATCTACCAGGAAAGTCCAAAGCTCAAAACTGGTCATACATGTCTGGGCCAATGAAAATAAAAAAGATACTTGCCAAAGTAGCAGGATACCTACCTTCTCATTCCAATCAGCTAATTATCTCTTATGTGACCTTTAAATAATAACCATTAATTAGTAAATCTATTAACTTCTCTGTGCCTCAGTTCCTTTACCTGCAAAATAATAATACTGAGAGGATAAAATGAGACAAGAAAAAGTAAAAGCAATATACAGTATCATGGTTGCTGTCATTGCTACCAAAAGTGGATTCCCAACATTTTTTTGTGGCATGGACTCAGCTACTAAGTATTTTAACTTCATATATTACTGGAGTTTCTATTAACCATTTCTAAAAAAGAAGTTACTTATTAACTTGATGGTAAGTAATATTTTCTAAAGCATCAATTTTATACTGATGGCAGCAGTGGTGGTGAGAAATCTAAAGGGATGCTAGAAAATATGTACTTTTTTTTCTTTTTGTGTTCTATGAAGCTGGTAGATTTCAACTTTTTTGGGAAACATTAAAGATAACAAGGTACTAAGACATTCCATTTGTTTCTGAATCTGTAACAGCCTTTTAAAGAATGCTGTTATATGTGCTGAATTTTATAAAATTAATTAAACATAAATGTTATTTTGAAATTATAATCTCTTCAAGCAAACTAAAAGCTATATAATTGATCAATATCTCAATAGAATTTTTACAATTATATCAATCTAGGATGAATGCCATACTGAAAAAAAGTAATTTATGAAAAACTTCTGTTGTTCAGATTTCATTAAATGGATACTTTAAAGCAACTAATAGTTACCTGGTAAGACAAAATCTGTAATTTCTAATATCTTTTGTTTATTCATTCAATAATATTCTGATTTATCAGAGCTTATGTCGATGCCCGAGTTCAGCCAATCTATGGTGGTACCAATGAAATAATGAAGGAGCTGATTGCAAGAGAGATCGTCCATGACAAGTAGACATCTGCCCACATGCTGGAATCCTATTACAGCTAATCTGTTTTATCTACTCAAGATGAAGTGCAACCTGGAAAGGGAAGAAACACTAAACTGTTTTTAATGCTCTCTCTATAGAGAAAGAAATCAAATACATATGTAAGATTAACACAGTGGTAGGAGAAATCTTTGAGTCCAGAGATACTAAAATTTCCCAATATAAGGTTTTACTTTTAATTTTTTATATAGCTAAAAGGCAAAAATTTTCTGATTTTAGAAGTTTTATGTTCACTTATCCTTCAAATTCTAAAAAGGCATTTTAAGTCTTTACAATTGAGACATTAATTTTGTTATAGTTTAGAAACATTAATAATACTTAATAGCCCATTAACTTTGAAAGGAAAAAATAATTTAGAATGCAAAATAATTTCAGCAATTTTGCTCCAGATTCCCCAGAACACCGGTTTCTACCACCATACCCTAAGACTGTTTTTAAGCAGTAGAAACCTTCCTTGGTACAAAAGCTTATGTAAGAGTCCCTGCGAAGTGCCAGTGAATGAATAGCTCCTCTATTTGAAGAGGGAAGCTTTCCTACCTTGCTGCCTTGGATCCACCAAGATTCAGCTAAGCATTTGCCTAACCCCAACTAGAGAATGAAGTTGGTTTTCTTATCTACTGACACCTGGACTTTCAACAGATTTCCATCCCAGTTTAATTTATAGGCGGACACAGAACATCCATCCTTTAATTTTAAGATACTGGTGTCTTTTATAGGTATCAAAACAGTGACTTCTATTTTGAAGCAGTGTACTTTTACAAATAATTTAACAAATACTTTGTGTTTTTCCTAAGCCAGGCTGTTAAAAAATATGGCAAATGAAACTGGCAAGATCCCTGTTAATAAGTGATTAAGCAAATAAATTATAATAAAGTAAGAAATAAATAAACAAGATAATTTCAAATCATGCTAAGTGCAATGAAAGAAAATAGGCATTTAAAATAGGAGTGAGGAAACGAAAATTGATTTGAGACTTAAAGTAATTATTATTTTAAAAAATTAATTTGTAAACTGCTAGCATCCTTTCAGTACTTGTTTTTCTTGGCATTCTGGTAAGACAGTGAATAAAGTAATTTTTAAATGGAAACAAGTAATGAATTTTTTTGTTCAACTTAGAAAACCTACACATTTTATTTGGTGGTGGTGGTATTAAACATTGCTTTTTAATGCAACTATTACAACTGGATAGAATATAGAGGGAAGAGAAAAAACTTTGACACTATTCTTTCCTAGAATTGTACAACTTTGGTTACTCTTGGGTAGAAGTATGTTTGATTTCCAGCTAGAGTTCTTACTCCTATGCATTAAATACCATGGAAAATGAGTTAAAATACGTTTTTGTTAGACATGGTATTTATAGCTGTCACCTCCCTTCTACTATTAGGAAACAGTATAGGATAAAACAGACCTTTTCTCAGTCATAAAAGAAACTGGATTTTAGAAATACAACATCTGTAGGAAAAGCCTACTATGTAGAGATGGACAGACCTCAATTGGAATGATGACTACCATTTAGGAACCATTGGACCTTAGGCAAGTTACTTTCCTTTTGAGGATTCTTTCAGGTGAAAATGGCAAAAGAAACTAAATTCTACCATCCTAAGCAAAAACTGGTGTGCTAGCTTAAAAAGGATTGTGGAATAGCTCATACATTCTAAAGAAATGTAGCAAGTAAGGTCTCAAGGGCCTGATTCTGGGGTTAGAACTGCTAGCACTTACACGATATCCACTTACTTTAACTTGTCTTCACAAATTGGCCTAATGGACACTGCAGAGAAATTTCATTACAGGGCCTGTAAAAATGACCTTGGGCTGCCCTTCAGCACAATGTCATTAAAAGGTAGGGGAAAGGTACACTATGACTGACAGTTCCATCAGGACCACACGGACTGGGGAATGAAGTTCCTGAAGCAGAGTAGTAGTATCCAAAGAAAGGGCACAGAAAAGTCTCCTTGAAAGACCTAAATTATACTCTAGCACACACACACAAAAGCTGCTATAGTCCACTAGAGCTAGGAATAGGTTCTAGCAGTTTTAATACACCAGAAAGTGAAAGGATTTCTAAAGTGGGATATTTTCTTGGAATGCTCTCTGGGATGCTTTCTATCTCGTCTAAGTCAGTTGTTTTCTTTGTCTTGCCAACTTCAGTCTTGTTTTGTGACCCCAAAAGAAGCATGTGTTGTATCATCGCCTTAAAGCTGAATGCAAAAAAAGGGAATTCAGAATGTGTTTCTTAACCTTTCATTTGCTTTTCGTTTCTTAGTAGATAATCTTTGTTTTGCTGTGTTTCTTTAATTGTTGCTCCCTAGGGAGGGAATTTGTCATCTGTAGCTCATGCAATGCTAAGTGCTCAAGAAACAAATAATAATAATGCTCAAAAGAACAGACTGGATGGACCAGCACAGCAAGAAAGTCACACTGTGTAAATAGTTAATGAGAATCAAGAAACCTGAGTAATTTTGTTTTTTGTCTGTAATTTTTAGAATTGTAATTGTTTTAAAATAGCTTTTGCCCTTTATTTCTTTGATGGTGTCATTGAAGATGAGAATATGTAAAATAAGCTTTTTATTTGCTATTTTAAAGCCTAACTGCAAATCGTATACTAATCTAGTAATTGTAGGTTATTGCTTAAGGTGTAAGATTTCTAGGAGACTTTTTTTCATATGTCAGTATTATTTTTGGCACCCACAGCCTTTATTTATTTGGAGTCATTGGAAAGATTTGACATTGAGATAGAAAGCAACTATGGGTCCTGTCATGTCTACTGCTTTATAATAATGTTAAAAAGAAGTTCTTTCTATTTCTGAAGTCTCATTTTCCATTTTTAAGAAAAAATAGAAAATTTCAAACATACTAAAAAATAGTGAAGATAGTGTAATGAATCTCTGGCTTCAATATTTACCAATGTATCTCCCTCACTTTTTTCTCAATTATTTTAAAGAAAATCCCAGGCTTAATGCTATTACATACACACACAATTTTTTTTACATAGCTATGAGGTCATTATCATAATTTAAGAACTTAAATTTAACATATAGTTCCAAACTAATATTAAATTTTTTCTTGGTTTTATCAAGAATGCCTTTTGTAATTGGTTTGTTCAAATCAGGATCCAAACAAGGTCCACAAGTTACATTTTTAAAATATTATCTCCACAGTCCTTTATTTTATGAAAGTCCTCTCTTTATTCCTTCTTTCTAAGTTTTATTTAAAAAATTATTATACAGCAAATTTGCCTATTTTTTTATATATACATACATATAGCAAAATTGCCTTTTTTAGTTCTCTGAATTTTAGCATGTATATAGATTCATGCAACCACACCACAATCAAGATATAGAACAATTTCTTTACTCCAAAAAGATACCTCATGCCCTTTATAGCCTCATCTTCTCTGCACCCCTTAACCTTGGCACACACTGATCTGTTCTCAGTTATTATGGTTTTGCCATTTTTAGACTATCATATAAATTGAATCATACAGTGTATAACCTTTGAAAATGACTTGTTTCTCTTAGCAAAATGCATTTAAGATTCATTTCACTCTGTGTGAATTAATAGCTTGTTTCTTTTTTTAGTGCCAAATAGATATACCAGTTTGTTGATTCATTCACCTGCTTGAGTACATTTTGGTGGCTGAGATTAAATAGCCAGGAGAGGAACTGTTGGGTCATAAAGCTAAATGAATGTTTAACTTTATAATTGCCAGGCTGTTTTACCAGAATGCCTGTACCATTTTGCCTTCCTACCAGCAATGTAAGAGTTCAAATTGCTCTGCATCTTCTCTAGCACTTGTATATTTTATATTAGCCATTCTTATAGGTATGTAATGGTATCTCATTGTGGTTTTAATTTGCATTTCCCTTATGTCTAATGCTATTGAACAGCTTTTCATGTAATTATTTGCTTTTTGTGTATCTCCTCTGGTGAATTGTCTGTTCAGATCTTCTAGCCATTCTTAGTTGGGTTACTTTTCTTAAAAAGAGTTTGAGCTTTGAGAGTTCTTTGCATATTACAGAACTGTTGAGCACAAGGCGAGGCCAGGCTGACAGATTCAGCTGCTAAAGAAACAGTGAGCCCTTTTCAGACTCAGTTTGTTGCTTACAGAGAGTGAAAACAAGAGTAGCCAAAGGTGTCAACTCTCTGTGGCCTTTGCACAGGATGATATTGAAATAAAAGAGGCCAGATGGTTGCAACAAGAATGATGAGACACTTGCTGAGGATTCCATTACTGCTAATCAGTTTTACAGTTTAGGTGTGCCTTAAAGATGATAAGGCAGGAAAGCATACCCGATCAGAATCCCAAAACAATGAGAAACTGTCTCATGACAGCCTCCCGGGTAGAGAGGGAAGTGAGTGAGAAATGGCCTTATAGGAGCACCTCGTAAGTCTCCCATGCTTTCATGTTCAAGAAGGTTCACAAGGCACCGTCAAGATTCAGCGGCCATTCAAGCCTGGCCTGTGTGGCCTATGGTCGGTCATTGGGCTGTTCCCCTACAGAAACAAGTCCCTTGTTGGATATGTGATTTGTAAATATCTTCTCCCTATCAGTATCTACTTCTTTCATTCTCTTAACAGTGGGTTTCATGGAGCAAAAGTTTTTAATTTTGATGAATTCCAGTTTATCAATTTTTTCTTTTATGGGTCATACATTTGGTATTATATCTAAGGACTCTTTGCTCAAACTTGAGTCAAGGTTTCCTTCTATGTTTTAAGTGTTTTATATTTTACATTGTGCATTTAGATCTATGTTCCATTTAGTAGTTTTTCATAAGGTGTAAGATTTATGTTAAGGTACTTTTTTTTTTTTTGCTTATAAATATCTAATTCTTCCAATACTACTTGCTGGACAGAATTTCATTTTCATTGAATTGTCTTTGTACTTGTTAAAAATCATATTTGACCATGTTTGTACAGGTCTGTATCTGGACTCTGTTCTTTTTCATTGATCTATGTATCTTTTCCCTTTGTGTACAGTAATATCATAGAAAGTCTTAAAATTTGATAATGGTATTCCTCAAACCTTTTTTTTCAAAGTTGTTTTGGCTATTCTCACTCTCTCTCTTTCCATACAATTTTTGACTCAACTTGTCTGTATCTACAAAAAAATCCTTTCAGGGTTTTGACTGAAATGGTGGTAAGTCTATAAATCACCTTTGCAGGGAACTGACATTTTTAGTATGTTGAAGCTTCCAATCCATGAATGGGAATGTCTCAATCTATTTAGATCTTCTTTGATTTTTTTCTTCAGCATTTCATAGTTTTCAACATAAAGAGCCTATATATATGTGTTTTGTTATATTTACAATTAAATATTTCATTTTGGGGGGCAGCTACTGTAAGTTGTATTGATGTTTGATTTTGGTTTCCCATTGTTTATTGCCAGTATACTTGATCATTGATTGTTGATTCTACATCCTGTGGTCTGTTAAACTCACTCATAAATTCAAGGAGTGTTTTTTATAACTTCCTTGGAATTTTCTACAGAGATAATAATATCATCCATAAATAGGGACAGTTTTAGTATTTCTTCATAACCAGTATGCCTTTCATTTCTTTATCTTCCTTCTCTCATTCCATCCTTTTTCCTCCTTCCTCCCTCTCTTTCTTCCTTCCTTCCTCTTTCTTTCATTTCTTTCTCTTTCTATCTTTCATTTCTCTTTCTCTCTTTCTCTCTCTCATTGTACTTACTAGGACTTCCACTACAGTGTTGAATAGGAATTGTGAGAATGGACATCCTTGTTTGTTTCTGATCTTAGAGAGAAAGTATTCAGGCTTTCACATTAGGTATGATTTATTCTTTAAGTATATTTTTAGTAGATGCCCTTGATCAGACTGATGGGGTCCCATTCTATTCCTAATCTGATGAGAGTTTTTATCATTAATGGATATTGAATTGTGTCAAATGCTTTTATTCATCAATTGATATGATCATGTGGTTTTTCTTCTTTGAGATTATTAATATAGTAAATTACATTGATTGCATTTTGAATATTGAACCAACCTTGCATTCTTGGGATACACTCTACTTGGTCTTTGTGTGTTATAATTTTTACATATCGCTTGGCTCTGTTTGATACAGTTTATTGG